GTGCTAGATTACTGAGATTCTACTTTACTTATAAATATTGTACCACACAATGTAAAAAAATAGGATTGTGTTGAATTAATATTCTAGATGAAATTCAAGATTAAGAAGGAAGTGAAGACTACATTGGGAAGATTAATCTGGAGAACTAAAATCATGGTATGTCTACCCAATATATAGATAGATAAGGACAAGAAAAAATATTACCTTAACAAAATCAGCAGCCTTTTGTAGATTAGCTATATCTTTAGTTTCAGGACCAACTCTGATTTCAACATTTCTTGTTTTTGTGTTAAATCGCACTTGTAACAAGAGATGTTCCACTATTGGTGTGAAAATCTTTAACCAATTCTCTTTTAAAGGGGTATATCTGTAACAAATACATACATAAATTATCTTTAATTATTGATAACATATTAGTATGGTAATAAAGCATTGCAGAACATTACAATAAGATGTTCAAGGTCATTGACTTATCACGTTAGTTCACTTTAATACGTGGAAATCGGTAGGATAGTATGTGTTAAAAATATACATAATTGTTTTGAATAAATTTTGAGGTTATACCTATGTGCAGGAACAGGTACTTTTCTCATGTTTACTTTGCTCTCATTCGGTTCAGCATTCTTTTTAACTCTCTTAGCTTTAGGTTTTGAGAGTTTCGGTTTGCCTTGAATACCATTATGTTCTTCCACCTCCATTCCATCTCCAGATTCCGAAACAGCTCTTCGTTTCACATTCTTCAACTTAACAGTCTTTTTTGCGGGCAAAAAGTCATCGACGTTTATGTTTTGCACTTCCATTTTTGATACACTTTAATTATTCAATGTAATAAGGAATTAAATTATGGTTAATTGTGGTTAAAGTTGTTTTTAAATAATTCTCACATGGTCTACAAAACAATCACATAGGAAAAGGAAAATCTGACAGTGACAATCATTCAAATGTCAATTTAAAAGTTTGAAGTTTTTATATACTCTTTGGTGGTGCCACTTTGTGCCATTTTTCTTTCTCGAAATGATTCGATTTTCAGCATTTCGATGAAAAAGTCCCTGATGTTTTGCTCTCGATTTCAGTTAAAAGTTTATTTCTGTTAAGTTATGCAATTTTCAGTGGTATTAAGGATATGCAAAATATATCGTTACTGCATTGTCATATCTTTTAGTTTGCAAAAAGTTTGTGAAAAAGCATAGTAATTCAAATCGATATTGTGTGCATCGGAATCGATGTGATGGAACTACCCTACGGAAAAAAATGGCGGTGGTTATGTCACAATTCTAAGTCGATATTTTGATAATATGAATTAATAGAGTGGTAAGAAATAACTGCCTATTCTTTTAGTAATTACAAGAAACCTCGTTTGATATTTAAAAATCATTTGTTTGTTGTAGGCCAACGAAAAATGGCGACTCTAGTACGTACGACCTTTGTGAAAGTCTTGACTCCAGCTCAAGGGGCTAAAATAGCAGCATGCGGCTTCGTACAGCATCGGAGTATAATGGGCAAAGCCCTACGGGAATCTCTGCCCCCGCCTCCACCTAAACCAGCACCATTTGATTATGAGAACAAGTTCTATACATGGTTCCGCAGTCTGAGGGACCGTACAACTCATAGAATGGATGAGAATTCTAAAGTTGTGGTCGTCGAAGGTACTGTTGCCTCTAAGAAGACGGCATTTGCGAAATGCCTTGCCGAAGATCTTGGTATGAAGCATTTCCCAGAAGCGAATATGGACTTTCACTATATAAGGCCCAATGGGGTTGATCTTCGTACGTTCGACTGTCAAATACCTGAGGATGCTAGAACATTCGATCATGTTAACTTCAACCGCAACCCGACACATCGTCACACTGGTAATTTCCAGATAATGATGTATACTGCAAGATATTCTCAATACATTGATGCACTAGCCCATTTATTAAACACTGGCCAGGGTGTTGTATTGGAGAGATCACCTTACTCCGACTTTGTCTTCCTGGAGGCCATGTACAGCCAGAAGTACATCAGTAAAGGAGTTCGTTCCGTCTACTACGAACTGAGAAACAGCACAATTGAAGAACTTATGAGACCTCATCTGGTTATTTACCTTGATGTTCCAGTACCTAAGGTATTGTTTATTATTATATAACCCATTAAGCTACATAGCTCTAGGGAAAATAAATGTATGTAAAAAATGTTTTTGAACCAGAAGATATTGACTAAATATTTTTAATTCTGACAAAATTAGACAAAATAAGTACCCAAACTAAGTAACACTAGCAAGATGTATTGTGGATTTATTAAAAAATAGAAACCAGTATTCACAATTACATCCACACCGTAAAACTAACTGTAGAACTAATTTTCCAGGTGATGGAAGCTATCAAATGCCGTAATCTAGACCATGAGGTGAACGGTAAAGCTATGACAGCTGCTTACCTGACAGAAGTAGAGAGACAGTACAAGACCAAGTATCTCCGTGACATCTCAACTCACGCTGAATTATTGGTGTATGACTGGACTGGCGGTGGTGAAGTTGAAGTGGTAAGTTAACAAAGATGATTCATGGTATTTCTGATCCTTTATTCTGAATTTAAACAAATTTTGAACACCTCCTTAAACTTATAGTGTGTTTAATAGAGTTTGTGCCCTAAATTAATTTCTTTTGTCTATTATTATTTTGTATTTCTAAGCCTATCTATCAAATATTTGTTAGCAAATTCTTCCAGCCTATGTTCTACATCTATGCTAAAATTCACTGAGATAAACGCATACATTCCGGAAACATTTACATTTATAGTATTAGCTTATTATTAACTTAGATTCTAACTTACAGTGCAAAGACAATTCTGTATGCAAATAGGATTTTAATTTGTGTCATATTACAGGTTGTAGAAGATATAGAACGTTTAAACTTCGACAAGTATACAGAGCGTGAGGAGCCTAAGATGAAGGACTGGCGTCTCCCGCGCGAGGTGGAGTGGGCAGACCAAAGGATGCTCTACACCAACCAGAAGGATTATCTCTTGAACCTGCTGGCTATACCCCGACTTGATGTGCCTGAGTTGATCACCAGTGCTGAAGATGCTTATGAGAGAGAAAAGGTAATTTACAGTTGCACCTGCATAAGTAAGAGTTCAGGGGTCGGGATGTTCAGCAATTCCAGAGATACCTTTAAACATCCATCCATCTAAACATTCACATTTATATTAGTAAGATTAATATTTATTTTATTGAGAGCGTCGGTGGCTCAGTGGTTTCCGGCACTTGACTTGTAATCTGCAGGTCCTGGGTTCGAATCCCGCCATGTACCAATGTGTTTTTCGATTTTCTATTTACATATGTACATTGATCCGACGTTCTTACGGTGAAGGAAAACATCGTGATGCAACCTGCACATATCCGAGAAGAAATTCAAAGACATGTGTGAAGTCAACCCGCACTTGGCCAGCGTGGTTGACTATGGCCTAGTCACCCTTAACTTAACGCTAATTCACAAACATATATTTTCAGGTAATCTATGGGCATCCTGATTTCCAACATTTATATGGCTACAACAAGAAGGATGGTGCTGTACTAACTAAAAGCAAAATGCCCAAATATTACGAATATGTTTAGAAACGTAGCAACCAATTAGATTGTTAAAAAAGAGGATTATTAAATAAAAAATTTAAAATATTAACAATCTGCCTCATAACCACGGAGACCTGATAAAAGTCCTCTCCTTATCCGCCCTTTTCTTGTAAAATGGGAAAGGTAAGTGCATTTTACTTAGTAGAGGATGCATAGGAAGGGGAAATATTCTATTTCTGTCCGTCCTCTCTTTCTTCAATCAAACTTGGACATTTGTTAGAATTAAAATGTCTTCTTTGCACTATTATGATATGAAAATTATTTTTATCAGCTCAGAAACTCAGAAATATACATAACGCTAGTGGAAAATTAAAACAACGATAAATTTAAAAGTCCCCCTATATTTTAGTATCAAAAAATCTATATAAATGACGTCAAACATACAGCACCTAATATCACCACACAATGATTTCTTAAATTATAATTTATATATCACTTACCGTGGGTTTCTGAGACCAATACCTCTGTATAAAACATCGTGACATTGTCATGATCTTTGGGAAAAACAGAAATAATGTATTTTAAACGGGTCTCAGAAACTCACCATAAGGCGTAGCATAAAAACAAATTGAAAATGCAATCATAGTTATTGGAATGTAGTTTTCATTTAATTTGCAGTATATTTTTTTTTATTATTTAATTTAAAATTCATTTAATACAGGCAACACTGAGATTGCAATTTTGCTCTCCATAGACAAGACACAAACTAGAGGTATACAATAAAAATAACAATTATAAAATAACACAATATGGCATAGTAATTCAGTATTATATGTCGATTAAAAAAAATTTAGTAAAAACTTAAAAATATTTATTGTGCTCTATATTGTTTATGATAATTGACTATATTATTTGTCAAATTTCCTTTTTCCTAAATATTAAAGTTCACCTCATTGATTGTTGAAAATAATTTTATTTTTTTCATGTAAAATTGTTCCGTGTAAAATTTAAATGTCATATTACAAAGTAAATAGAAGTAATAATCATAGTAATTTTTATGTCAAATAATCTGTTATACAAAATTCGATGTTTAAAATCTTTGAAAACAAAGAAAAGACAGACAAAGAGTTGAATATTAAATAATTATCAATATTACATAAGAGTGGGATGGCAATATTTTATAGCAACGTGTGAGTGAGACAAACAACAAACTTAATGAACAAAATTTCAGTTTTAAATTCAAATACCCACCTTTTTACTATAAAATTAATTTTATAGCTATGTTTACACAATTGACATATCCTAATGTTTTTTTTATAAAATGAATTAGGTTTTTACAAACATGACTTTAAATTTACAAAAGTGAATTTGATTTTACAAACATGAATTTAATTTTACAAAAATTAATTTAATTTTACAAAAACTAATTTAATTTTACAAAAATTAATTTAATTTTACAAATTTGAATTTGCTTAGTAAAAATCGGTATTTAAAGTTAAATATATAGCATAGTTAGTTACGAGTCCAGTAGGAAAGGTGAATCTAGTGCTCCGAGTCCCGCGGCGACTCCGCCCTCGTTAGCATCCGCGAGTTTAGTCCTCAACATGTGACCCACTTGTCGATTACTGAAAATCTTTTCTTTGGTTCTGAAAATATTAATATAACAGTGAAATTCCATTGTTTTGACATTTGTACTGCGTCATATTGTTTTTTTTTTTTTTAAAGAGTTAAAGGGTGATTTTTTTCTGTAAGTGTGTTGTATGAAAATATATTTGCATTTTTTCTGTATTTATTTCAAACACGCTTGTATTAAATATCTTATTTAAATTATACTAACAGTTAAATTACAAGCACATATTTATTTTAAATTTACCACAAAACTTAAATACGGTTTACCATAACGATTTTTTTCTAATGTTAGAAGATATCTCCAGAACGGCTGCATGGATCTTGATGAAATTTGTCATAGATTTAGAACACATAGGCTACTATTTTTTTTTATTCCATACAGACGGAGTAGCGGTAAAAACTAGTAATTTATATGATTTATATGCACTTACCCAATAATAACTCCAAATATCCCAAGCTCAGAGACGAGGTCGCTGAGTGGAGGAGGCACGGGCGCTCCAGGACGCACCACGTACCCTGACACCTGTAGGAACATTATGTATATATAATAGTATGTATTATATACATAGCTGCAGTTTTCACTGCAGAAACATGTACAAAGACAATAAAATTGGTTTGTCTGTTATATAAAAATATATTGTATTTGTGTTGCTTATAACTAAAATCCATTTTTTTTTTAAATTTTGTCTGACTTTTCTTAAGTCCGCGTATGTTCCGGGTAATGTGTGGAACGGTGGGGCTGATTTTGACTGGAATACAGCTGATATATGCGGGAATGCTAAAGGCTAGTTTTTTTTAAATTCTGTACTGACAAACTCAAGGCCACCGTTAGTTAGTCTGAAAGACATTGCTGTAGATTCATATAATATCGTCATCAGCTCAGTATACGTCCCCACCGAGGGGCTCGGAGCCTACCCTAAGTTAAGGGTGATTAGGCCATAGTCAACCATGCTGGCCAAGTGCGGGTTGACTTCACACATATCTTTGACTTTCTCATATATGTGCAGCATCACAATGTTTTCCTTCACCATAAGGTCGGATAAATGTATATATGTTAATCGAAAATCACATAAGAGCGTCGGTGACTCAGGGGTCAAACACTTGACTTGCAAACTGCAGGTCCTGGGTTCGAATCCCGTCATGTACTAATAAGTTTTTCGAGATTCATACAGAGGGACAATTGCCAAGTTAAGTGTCGTAGTAAATTAATCAAATTGAAAGTAAGAAAGGGACATATTTGTTTGATATATATAATACTAACAAGTGGGGGTAATATCCGCTCCATCAGTATGTAAGCTGCGCGCTCGCGACTGTGTCGCATGCGCAGTAACGCCTCGCGCACGTCCGGTCCGTACAAGTTGTTGCCACCGCCCTCGCGCTGCGGCTTCAACACGAACCTACACATAAATATAAAATATATACAAAACTAGTCTATGCCCGTGACTTCGTCTGTGAAAAATAAAAAAAAATAATTTTTTTTTTTTTAGATTTGTTGACCCGTCCTGCAGATACCTTCAAACAAATATCCATCCAAACATTCGTATTTATAATATTACTAGTGTTCGCCCGCGACTCCGTCCGAGCGGAATTTAAAAAAAACTTCATTAGTAGCTTATGTATTATTCCAGACTATTTTAAACCTATGCGAAATTTTAGTAAGATTCATACATCTGTTATGGAAGATACCTTCTAACGTTATACAGGATGTTATATCATTAACGGTATATTTGGACATCCTGTATTTTTCGTTTTTTTTTATTATCCCATTTTACCTCTCAGCATCAGCAAGCGCCATATCAACAGCTCTTTCCCCGCTCTCATCGAAGTCTAATGAATACAATCCGGTGAATATATCTCGTACACTATTTGTAGTGGCTCCTGTACCCATAAACTTCTCCAATACACCAGGTGAAGCTAACGTCTGTTGAACCTTTTTAGTACCCGCCAATTGATATTGTATTGAAGGGCATTTTATTGCTCTGGAATACATAGAAAATATATTAAAATCTATAATCGAAAATAATTTTCCCACTTTAGATGTCAGGATGATTAACCGTGAGTTTCTGACACCGAAATCTTAATATAAAACATATCGTTACCTGTCATTGACACAACAGTATTTTGGTCTTAGAAACTCACGGTAAAAATGACGGTAGTTATAAATATACCACAGATATACAAAAAAACACTTTATAGACAAAGTAATCTGTGGACTGTAGTCATAAAGACTTACGTCAAATTCCACTAAATCAAATTTAAAAATAAACAATCAGCTCGACATACGTCCCCACCGAGGGGCTCGGAGCCTACACTAAGTTAAGGGTGATTAGGCCATAGTCAATTTTCTTTAATAAAATTCATAAATTTAAAACAAAAAATTGAAAAAAAGGATATTTTTTAATTCGTTACAATGACGTATAAAAGTTATGACAGATGTCAGCTCATTGCCCACTAGCGCCACATACTGTAAACTTTCTTTCCCACCAAATGTTTTCTTTTATAAGTACTTTTTTGCATTATAAATTCTTATTGGCTATGTATTATAATTAACGTTAACTTTTTTACTTTAAATATAATTAAATATACATACGAGGATCTCTCGACACGGAGGCGTGCATCCCACTCACGTGAGGATGGATACTGCGATGGCTCGTAGCCCGATCTGTAGTACACCACAGCTACTGGCCGACCTTCCCTGTAGTCACAACACCCTGTACAATATATCTATCTCTTTCCATCTCTTTGGAAAAGACAGAGATAGTGTCAAATTCTCAAATGTGAAATTCAAGGTTAAATTTGTATAAACACACTATAGCTAAATGTGTTTTTACGGTTGCTGTCCATAGACATTAGAAATTGTAGATGCGTTGCTTACTTTTAATCGTATATCAAGAACTAAATTGATGCTAAAATTGGTATAAGTCGTTTCAAATATCTTGATAACTCAAGGTCACCTATAATTACATCTAAATTTGTGTTTTGCGCAGCTTTTCGCACAAAGTTAAGAGCTGACAAGATAAATGAAAACATTTATAATAATACCAAATTACTGTAGTAACTTCACTAGAACTCAAATTGTCCCTAGAAAGTTTGAGTGTGTTAATGTTGGTTTCTGAAACCAAAATCCCAGTTTAAAACTTGTTATCTGTTTCAAAGAGGCAGGGATGATGTAATAGAGATTTTGGGCTCAAAAACCTACGGTTAGTATATTTCTAGTTAATACTAAAGTGTAAAATACTTACAATATTAGTTGTTTCTTATCATTGACTGTTGTTTCTTCATACAACTCGTTTAAAGTCTTTCTATGTATCTGAAATACACGAATAATTATTATAAAATCTAATAATTAAAAAAATATATTTATCTTACTAATATTATAAATGCGAATGTTTAGATCAGTTGTTCCCAAACTTATTTTGTCTACTTTGAGAATAAATATTTTTTTAAGCGCCCCCATATTAGAGTTATTGAGAGTCGAGAGGTCATGCAGTTGTCTAAGATGCCTCCTAGCTAAATAAAATTACAAATCACCCCCCAGGCCTCTACACAACGCCCCCATTTTGTTTCTGGGTCTCTTACTGCCCGTTATCGCCCGCTTTGGGAAAGACTGGTTTAGATGGATGTTTGTTTGAAGTTATCTCCAGAACGACTGAACGGATCTTGCTCAAATTTGGCATATATGTAGGATATGGTCCGGAAGAACACATAGACTACTAATTATGTTTTTTTTTAATTCCGCGCGTACGGAGACGCGGGACACAACTAGTACAACATAGTAGTAACATCTTGATAAAATTTGGCATACATGTAGAATATGGTCTGTAAACAGACTACTAAGTTTTTTTATTTCGTTTTTTTTTGTGGGCAATAGCTATTAGTTAGCAATTCACCATGATATCGGGTCTCTTCTCTGATATTTCAAACTCATGGAATCTCTGGTCACAAATATTGTAGGACACCTCTTCTACCACAAATATTATGATTGCATTTGCGACACCAAATAGATCATACGCCTCTATAATGCCACTGCAAAGTCCTGATAAAGCTCCGTTCTGCGGCATCTAAAAAGAGGCAAATTAAATCAAATAATTGAAAAAAAAATCACGTAATTTCAGACATTATTAGTTAGAATCCTTTGGAGCTGACGTGCGTGAATGAAGTGCTTTCGTTACAAAGTCAAGTGTCAGAATGATTAGTGAGGGGACATAAACGTTGACATTTTAGTAAGACTAGTGTTGCGTCAATACACCGGCACTGTCAGATTTTCTTCCTAACAGTAGATATTCCAATTTGTTTTTTTATAAATAAATTATGGAAACACTTTAATTAGTTATATTTTATGGAGAGCCGTCACTTCGCTATTTTGGCGAAATTAGGTGAACACTCTGGATTACCACCTTCTAGTTAAATTAACATTCAGTCATTTATCACTTACTTTTTTAATCAGATCTCCGTGTCCCAATTGACGAAGAATGTAACTGAAAGTTGAAATAAAATATATAATAAGCTTACAAGATTAAATTCATTCAAACATTCACAATTTCAAACTTAGCGTATATTGCAACAAACAAAAAAAGATTAGAATTAGATGGCAACATCGAAACAAATCTAAATAAAAATATTTTACTAAAAAAAAAATAATTAAAATACAAACATACATGCAAACATGCTTATATCTAAAATCTATTTAATATACAATCTAATTTACACTGTTCAAACATATGTTTAATAATATCATACTAATAATATCGAATTAATAATAGCGAATGTTTAGATGGATTTATATTTGAAGATATCTCCAGAACAACTCAACAGATCTTGATGAAATTTGGCATAGATGTAGAACATAGTCTGGAACATATATACTCATTCAGTTTTTTTTTAAAACCCGCGAGAACGGAGTCGCGGGCAACAGCTAGTATTGTTATATTTTTTTAATATAATGAGTTAAACTACAATATGAATTGAACAAATAGTCCAATAAAAACATATTTATATGAAAAAAATTATTTAATATAAAAAAAATCTCTAATGCCAAATTAACAGATTTTTTTTATTTAGTAGTTCAGCTTCAATTCAAACCCAACAGTTTCAAAATGGCCAATTCGGTATTCTACTAGAATAGTTAGCAGAATTAAAAGCACATGCATGCATGCATTATCAATCAAGATGCATGCTAGGAAATACAATTAAAATCAGTGTTTCCCAAAGTTATCTTGGACACCATGAAGTCACGGACAACTCAGTGGTGGGCCATGATAGGAAATAAATTCGAAGAATAAGAAATTGAAAAAATGTAGCAACAGGGTGTTCAACAAAATTGGTAAAATTTTGAAAATAACAAGAAAAAAGTTTAAAAATGTCTCGTTTAGATAGTTCTAGTTATTGCGTTCACGTTATTTGAAAAGTCAAGTAATAAATAAGTTTTAAATAAATAAAATTAATTATAGAAATAAAGATATAAATAGAAGTTATATTAAAAATAATGCAAAAAAAATACAGAAAAATGCCATGCGTTTAACACATTATTAATAACTTGTATTGTGTACAGTGTATGCATTTTTGAAGACATATTTCATGTTCAAAGAATATAAGAAATGTTTGAATGATATTCCTATAATCATTTCTCTTGCAACTATCCGTTTCCTATAAATATTTTATTTGCCGCGTTTTTGGTTAAAAAAAAATTCAAGTGATGTAGTCGTTGGTGTCAATAATTAATTTAAATGTCAATTAGTCGAAATTAGCTTCCAATTTTAGATTCTCGAAGTTTCCAGCAACAATATAAAACTATCAAATAACAATGCGACATTAATATTTCAAGATAATATAAGCTGAGCCGTCAACTGACAGTTGTCTCTACACATTTTATTTCTTTTTAAACGAGCGATGGGCGATAAAAAACAATCGACTAAATAGCTAATTTTATTAGTGTTAGAAATTATCGCCCATCCCTATTTTTGAGTAACCGATATTAACATATTTCAGTATAAACTATATTTCGTCGTAATAATATACGTCAAAAACCGAGATAAGTTCTTATACATTTACTGTTTTTTTGGCTGAATCGTATTGATTTCATCGACTAAAAACTGGGATTTATCGGTAAAAAAGTTTCATAAATACATAACATTAGGAAAACCACTGTTTTACCGACACATTATAGTATTGGAATATCGCGATTATCGTGAATCATAATCTAACAGCGTCATTTTATTTTATCGTTTATAATTTTTTTTTATTATTTATGATGTATTGAATGGATCCAAGCTAAACATTGAACCGTTTGAAAGATGTCTACCCTAAGCCGAACGCTGCAATGAATGGACAGAAGACACGATACATAAATAACAAACAAAACGCAACCGACACATATTTAACCGACAATCCGGGCCTCAGGTAACATCTCTCAAGTGAAACTACTCAAGCTATGCGCTCAAAAATACATGCACTCAACATTTCAATAATCTAAATCTAAATCAATTTAAAAAAACATATATAAATAATCTGCAACGTCAAATTGACAACCAATATTACAAGTACGGTGCAAATTAAAAAAAAAACAAAGCATAAGCAGTGCATACAGATAAAATAAAAAGAAAAATACACCAAAAAGCAAGAACCATAGTGATGTGAAGATGATTGCATAGCGTGCGTTTGCAAATAGCAGTCACATGAGAGATGTTGACTGATTCGTTTATGTGTGTGAAGCATGAAGATGTTTGAATTTGGAACACGTTTGAAAGTTTAAAAAAAAATGAAATTCGAAAGAAGAATCAAACATGTGCGACCCACACACAACGACAGCACAAAATGTCGGTACCGAGACATGGCGGGCAGATTGGACGTGATGGCGCCAAAACTGGAGGCGATCGTGTTAAACTCCACTTGCTTTATCGTGTTGGCCTCCGTACACTGCATCAGGTAGTCGGAGCGGAACAGGCCGAGGCTGATCGACTGGAACACGCAATATTTTTTTTGACTTTAATTCTGTCCACTCAATGCTGCATTCTTAACATAACCTAAAAAGCTCCCACAACCAGCACTAAAAAGTATTCAGAAAAAAATATGCAATATGTCGATGTTCTTTTTTTAAATTACATTATCTAACTATACAATCTTAATTTTAAAATTTATTAAAGTGTAGTCCGAATTTATTTCAAATTAATATTTTAAACACCCTATGAATTTATTTAAAATTAATACTTTAAACACCCTATAAATTTATTACCACAATTACTATTGGAAGGAATAATGTGGATAGAATATACAAATAGAATGGAATAATAGTAGTAATTTTAAACCACAACGAGGTCAAATAACCATTCGGATTTTGCTTTGATACAATTTAAAATCGAAAGCTAAATTGTAATTTAAACCCTGACCAATATTTCATCACGAATCCAACCATTGTCAAATTTCAATGACAACTCTCACAAATAGTTTTTGTTTCTAGTATTAAGACCATTTAATAGTTCATAAAATCAAGTCCTATTGTATTCCAATTTTCACATACAGCAGTGGTTCCCAAACTTATTTTGTCTACTACCCACTTTGAGAATAAATATTTTTTTAGCGCTCCCATATTTTCACATATTTAAAAACCACTATAACTTCAAATTAAATTAATTAATTATTGTGACCTATATATGTATATTAACGGAGAACTCTAAACGAAACTTTTACTATGACCCGCAACTTGAGACCTGAAGCGCCCACAAGGGGACGTTATCGCCCACTATGAGGGAAGACTTATATACAGGTGTTTATTTTTATTTTTAAAATGTAGTTTAAATGTTAAATGTAAACTAAAATCCTGTAAAATATTATAACAATTAAAAATAATTGTCTTAAACAACCTATTTATAGAACTACAAACATAAGAAACAATAAGATAAAGACGTATTGTCACTTGCATCGTCATTGTAACCGTCAACTACATGACACAAATCATAGTTGACAAAACTTTCCAACGAACACAATAGTGTTACGATGACTTTATCAAATAAATTTACCACAACATTGAACACCATGTACATACAATATGTCCACATTGTTTCATATTGACAAACTAAAGATTATTACTATTACATTAGTACAATTATAATCTTACGATACGTTCACGACGAAAGCGGAGAGCAGAGCAAATTGAGCTTTACACAATTGAAACAAGGATTAAATTTACTTACGTCATTTTTACGCTTTTAATAAAAAAAACATGCTAAGTAAAATTAAACCTTATTGCAATTGTTTAAAGGTCAATTTTATTTGCGATAAAAAAATCTCGTCTGTCTGAATATTTTCAATGTTACTGTATTGACGTAAATTATAATATATTGTCATCCCTCTTATTCTCTTTGGTAAAACAGAGACAATACGAATGACAGCAAACGCAAGATAAAGTAAATAAGATCATTATTTTTATCACGACATTTGACTATTTATTTAAATTTTAACACATTGAGTGCCATGACTACTTTTACGCAAAAAGAACTAAGATCCAGGAGCTCCGAATTTGATAAAATCTGCATTTAATAATTTCAAGTTGAATATTTTTTATCTAGAATAAAAACTATAAATATCCTAATTAAAAGTTAGATATATATTAATATTATGTATTATTAAAATATCTATAATTAGGCTATTTCTATATCTAACGTTATTTACTTTATTTTCGTAGTTTTATTTATTTACATATTAAGTTTATAGAAGCATATTAATATACTATCAAAGGGTAAAATTGTAAATAATTAATCATATTGTAAACCTTGTTAATATTTGTCCTTTTAAACTAAAATTATATAATAATTCTGATAAGTTTAAACCTTTATAAAACCATAACCATGCGTTCCTGATACTAAAATCTCTTTATAAAACATATCGTCATCCCTGTCATTAACTTTGACAAAACAGAGATAACAATATGTTTGAAACGGATATATTGACCTCAGAAATCTACGGTAAGACTTCTTTAATTAGTATTCAATATTATTATTAGTATATTAGTAAAACCATTAGCTTAAATTAATAATCAACTTAAATTAGTCTTGAATTTTAATATTTGATATTTACAATACTGTTAATAATATTAACCTCACTTATCACTAGTATGTGCCATTGTCTCCGTTCAAAACCTATCTAATATAAATTTTAAATACTTTTTGACATAACCTAAAATTGTCAAATCATGACACCAATCACCACTACGAAAAATTCTTAAAAACAACTACAAAACCATATCCATTTTTGTGTCATTTTGTGCTGTATATACATATGAGACCTTTTAGTATAGAGGTTGTAATATATCTTGGAAGCTCGGATATCTCAGGTCGCGCGTGACTGAGCAGCCAAGATATTTGAATACACATATACTACAATAACTGTATAGTTTTATTGTGTAAATGTATCAGTGCATGTTTACAAGCTCTAAGTTAATAACATAAACTACATAACAATTGTCGATAGCTTAACAGAACAGGAGTTTTTACACCAGCTACCTCTGTATGTCTCTCGATACCGGTCCAAGATGACCAAAGCCCGATGCGATACTGTTGATTTCCACCTGCTTCCAAGAACAATACGGTGTGTGCTTCGCGCACTGGTTGACTGTGTGCGGACACCTTGACTCCAGCATTATGTCCGATCGCAGCATGCCAAGTGTTATAGGCTTCGCCATACCAAATGTAACAATTATCTCCATGTTATCATGCATACCAACCCTTTGCCGCTGAGGCACGAAATGTACATTTCATCCCCATTTTTAAATGTCGTATAGTAAAGAGAATCACATATATGGTTTGTAAAAATTATAAATTGCGACATAACTGGTAGCCACCGAAATTAAAAATAAATTGTATTGTTCCCATTTATTATCATATGTAGCTATTAAGGCTTACATAAAACCTACTTACTATATTTGGAGATTCCTCCTGAATTTAATACATAAACTTTTATAATATAATAATAAAATTAGCGTAATTTAGCATACAAAATACTGGCATAAAATAATTAAATATATTTACCTGAGTAATTCCTTCTTCACGAACTTTAATCCATATATCGTAAAGGTTTGCTGTGAATTCATCAACTTGCAATGCATTTTGTAATGTATGTTCCAAGAATTCTACGTCATGAGCAACCTAAAAGGAATTTAAAACACTAATTATTGCCCAAAATTATTCTAAGTAGTTCAATTAGTAAATTAGTTTGTGGAGTTTTTAAATTTTAACTCAATGACCCGGTACATAACTGGCAGGTAAGAATTTTTATATGCGGGATGCCAGTTATTAAAAAAAGGCAACTGCACACAATCTAATAGGGGAATTAGATGCTGATATAAATAAATTCCAGCTAGATACCCTCATACGTTCCAGAGAAAAATGGTCTTGACAGACATATGGACAAACAAAATGATCCTATAAGAGCTCTGTTTTTTCAAGGTATGGAGCCCTAAGAAGACAAAGACAGGGTTATCTTAGACACATCTTATATTAAGTGACCTGAGGTAGAAATCTCATGTCTGGCGACTATTTATTTCTACTTAAAAAAGTGGATAAAAATATTTACCTTATGCATAAGTTCATTGAGGACTGGTTGAAGTTCTACTGCTTTATTAAACTCTGTGCTCGGAAAGGGTGATGGTAATAATACAAATGGAGCAATCTGTTTAATAAAAATATATGTTTAAACCTGGAATTGTTTGCTGAATACAAATTAAATTTTATATTTTGTTCAAATAACTGGCTGTTTTTTTAAAAATTACCACCACTGTTAAAAAATTGAAAATTTATTTAAATTTAATTAACTCAAAGAATTAAACTTTTTTGATTCTATGAGTCCAGCGGTTACAATTTAAAATGATGTACCTGTATAGAGTCCTTGGTAAAATGTTTTTTATCTCGCATTCCAACCCCGTGCATAAGGGCCCAATCTTTCGCTTTCTCTATAACGGTTACTAACAATTTGTGCTCCAAAGGCAAGGGAATACAAGGCGGAAGACGAGCTTGAGACATGCTGGTAATATTTCGTACAGTAAAATTAACTATTAATTTATGATACACTTCAAGAATTTTAGAAAGAATGATTGGAAATGCCTGGAACAAGCCTGTTATAAACAGATGATTATAGTTTTTTATTGGAAATTATAAACACTTTTGATTCTTGTTTCTTGTCTTGTCAAACTTTACTTGTCAGTTTCTTAGCCAGATGCAGATTGTGTCAAAATCAAAATTCATAATTTTTATGTTGCCCTATAACGGAATGTCCGCTGTCAAAATTAAAAAAAAAATCACAATCACTACTTGAAATGAACTACTTGAAAAGCGCCAGCATTGAGTGAAATTTTATTAAAATGCATTGGTGTACTTAAGTTTTCACCAAGCATTTTATTTTTGAACCTTCCCATCGATCAATCGATGGAATCGTAAGTCAAATAACTTTGCACTTTTAATAACTACTCTTTGTGAATTGAATGAATATTTTACCTATACGTCACATTTACATATTCTTTTATATACTCTTTGCGTCACTTTTAAGCGAGAAAACCGTTCGTGCTAAAAGCTGAAATTTGTAATTTTACAATTAATTATTCCGTTCTATCGCTAGTATATAGTTTAAATAAAACTAAAATGGAAGTAACAGATGAGAATTTGGCAACCTTAGCCAATTACTTGCAGCAAACTTTAAATCCCGACCCTAACATCAGAAGACCCGGTTAGTTTTACAACGTATTTTTTGTATTCATTGCAACAAATCAATTTACTTTTTGTTTTTGGGGCTGTTGCCTTTAATGATAATATTCAATTGATATGATGATTTATTTATCAAATTTAATGGTAAATTCTAATAAGTTTTGGAAATCTTTTCATATCGGATTTGTTTTGACATGTTTATAACCTCTTAATATATATTTCAACAGTCATAGTTTAATTAATCATTTCTTTTAACGGCTTTTACCTAAAACTTTAAGCTATTTACATATTGGTGTTACTGAGGGTTGCTTAATGAATAGTTCTCTATTGTATTTTTAGCGGAAAAGTTTCTCGAAGGTGTTGAAGTGAATCAAAATTACGCCATTCTGCTGTTACATTTGATTGATAAAGATACAGTAGATCTAACAATAAGAATAGCTGGAGCTGTTGCTTTTAAAAACTATATTAAAAGAAATTGGCCTGTGGTAAGTTTTGTTTGATAATTACATTGAAAAACAATAAGATTTTTTTTTTATGTAAATCTAATAGGAGTGGGTATAGATAACATTTTTAATCATCTTAAATTTGTCTACACTATTTTAAATGAAGTGTTAAACTTTTAAAACAATTCACATTTAACTCCTATTAATAATAATAGTAGGTGGCTACAGTATCCATAACTCAATGACTAGCTAATATTTTTCATGTTCCCCTTTATCTTATCCTCACATAGGAGGAGGATGGTGCAGACAATATCCATGCAAACGACAGAGCAGCTATAAAAAGTCTCATAGTGTCACTTATGCTGAAGTCACCTGAAGCCATCCAGAGACAATTCAGTGATGCGGTGTCAATAATTGGAAAATATGATTTCCCACAAAAGTGGCCCGGTCTCATCTCGGAAATGGTGGAGAAATTTGCTACAGGTTTGTGTTTAAATTCTCTTAATATATTACTTCTTATTAATAATATAAATGTGAAAATTTAGATGGATGGATGGATGTTTGTTTGAAGATATCTACAAAACAGCTCAATGGATTTTGATGAAATTTGGCACACATGTAGAACATAGTCTTGAAGAACTTATTAAGTTTTAATTTTAATTCCGCATCAAGTTAGTTCATATATAACAAATTTTATATAGAATCTGTGTGTCTAGAATAAGACGCAGAAACCAATTGTGTTTGTATTTAATTAATTTTTCTTTTACTTAATTATATTTGAATTTCAGGTGATTTCCATGTGATTAATGGAGTTCTTCGTACAGCACATTCTCTGTTCAAGAAATATAGATTTGAATTTAAATCACAAGCATTATGGGAAGAAATCAAACATGTCTTGGATAATTTTGCTAAACCATTGACAGATTTATTTGTGGTATGTATATCATAAAGTTTATTAGTAAAACTGTTTGTTATAAGGCAAGGGGGAAAACAAGTAGTTGAAATACCGAAGTGTCATCAACACAAAAATATGGAATTACCGAAGGAACTGATTAAATATTATTAAAAATAAAAAAAAACAGTTTTAAATGCATGATTAGTTAAAAATGTGCAGGATGTTATGGTCAATACATATTTCACCTATGCATTGGCCAGTAGTTTCAGTTGGTGGATGGCCAGATTACGGGTATGAGTTAGTGCCTAAAGTTACTTCTATTTGATCATATCTTAGGAATTGACTACCCTTGGCTGTCTGGGCATGTATTGAGATGTAATCTTTGCCTTTTCTTGTAATTGTATCTAGGCCTAATAGTATAATTTTTATTAATTTCAGGCAACTATAGAATTAACAACAACACATGCAAACAATCCTCAAGCTCTTCGCATTATCTATGGATCTCTTGTATTGATTTGCAAAGTGTTCTATTCGTTAAATTATCAAGATTTACCGGAGTTCTTTGAGGATAACATGCCGATATGGATGCCTAACTTACTCAATTTGTTGCAAGTTAAAGTTCCCAGTCTTGAAGCTGATGTAAGTAAAAAAATCTCATCATTTCTTTTGTCCTTGTGATTACTTCTTTCAATGTTTATGCAACTGTTTTTTTTTATTTAAACATCATTTAAATAATTGACAAGAACTGGTAATAAACATTCACCTTACGAAATATTATATAAAAAAAAACTAAACAACTCACATCTGTAACCCAGAAGGTAGGCAGAGACCACAGACCTCTATGCGTGGCAAAACGTCCGCATGCCACTTTTCGCCCATGAGGAGACGTCACCGTTTTTATATATAAAAAAAAATAGTGATATGGATAATATCTATAATAATATAAAGCGAAAGAGTTTGTTTGTTTGCTTAAACGCGCTAATCTCAGGAAGTACTGGTCCGATTTGAAAAATTCTTTTTTTGTTGGTTAGTACATTTATTACGCTGTGACCAATAGTTTTTTTTTAATTCCCCACGGACGGAGACGCGGGCGATAGCTAGTTAATGATATATAGTGTTTAATATTTGCGACAAATTATTACAGACTGATGATGACAAGCCCGGTGTAATGGAACAGTTACGTACAGAAGTGTGTGAGTGTGCCGCGCTATATGCATTGAAATACGAAGAGGAGTTCCATCCTCATGCCCCGGGTTTTGTGACTGCGGTGTGGACGGTTTTGCTGGCAACTGGACCACAGGCTAAATATGATGCGGTGAGTTATTAATATAATAGACTTAGAATTTATAGTAAAATATTTGATCTTATATAATTGGCCACTATACATCCCCACTGGGCTCGGAGCCTTCCCTAAGTTAGGACTGACGGAGTGACTAGGCCATAGTCAACGCTGTCCCAGTGCAGATTGACTGTACACATATCTTTGAATTTCTTCACAGATATGTGCAAAGCATCACGATGTTTTCCTTCACCGTAAGAACGTCGGATAAATAAAAAAATACTTTGGTACATGGCGAAATTCGAACCTTGGACCTACAGATTACAAGCTTAATGCCTGAGCCACTTATATAACTATATAATATTAGCTACTTATATTACAATGCTACTTAAGCGCATAATTAAAAAAAAAACAAGTCTTTTTATTTGATAGATTAGCTGGCATATTTTTTTATTAAGTAATATATTTCTTTACAGTTGGTATCAAATGCTCTGACATTCCTCGCGAAAGTGGCTGAAAAGAAAAGATATCAGAACTTGTTTGAAGATCCGGGAACGCTCAGCAGCATTTGTGAGAAGGTTGTCATTCCCAATATGGAATTTAGAGGTATTCCTTCATATTCAATTTACTCACATAATCTTACTAATATTATAAATGTGAATGTTTGGATGGGTTGATGTTTGTTTGAAGGTATCTCCGGAAGGGCTAAACAAATCTTGATGATATTAAGCATAGATGTAGAACATAGTCTGGAAAAACACATAGACTACTAATTTAGTTTTATTTTTAATTTCTCGCGAAGAGAGTCGCGTGCGATAGCTTGTCGTTTATAATACTGTTAAATATAACTCGTGATATTTTATGACAACTTATTTTATTTATGACTAGCTGTCGCCCGCGAATCCGTCCGCTCGGAATTAAAAAAAACCTAATTATTAGCCTATGTGTTCTTCTACACATTGGTCTATGTTTATGTCAAATTTCATCGTGATCCGTTCAGCCATTCTGGATTTCCAGAATGAATGTTTGTTTGAAGGTAGATACCTTCAAATAAACATCCATCCATCCAAACATTCGCAGTTATAATATTAGTAAGATGTTTAACATTGGTAAGATGTCTATGGAAACTCAATTTGTTTATTTTTTTGTGTTACCTAATATTACAAAAAAAAATTGTTTTAACCCATCTGTCGACTGATTATTTTAATTCTTCAATGTTGTAAGTTTTTATTGTATTTGATAGAATCGGATATGGAGTTATTTGAAGATAATCCCGAGGAGTACGTGCGTCGCGACATGGAGGGCTCCGATGTGGACACGCGCCGGCGTGCTGCATGCGACCTCGTGCGTACACTCGCACAGCACTTTGAAGACAAAATGATGAATATCTTCGGACAATATGTACAGGTAAGACTATAAACTAAAAAAAAAAACGCTAAGACCAGTCCTGAAGGGAACGTAAATCTTAGAAACTTATAATTTATGGTTGCTCGCTTCTTCGACTTAAGTCTTCTACTCGGTTAGTACAAGGATAATGACTTAATATCAACTTTCTCACGATGACCTTGACAAATAAATTGCGAGCGATTGTCTTTGGCGATGAAATGTCTCTCATAGTGCAATCCTCTTAGCGACTAAAGTCGCCAGGTTGTGAAGATTTATGTTGCCTGTACGAAGAGTCTCTCTCTCAAGGTACCTCTCCATTTAATGGAGTTTGGCCGTCAGCTTAGTGAACTTTTGCCGGTCTTTTGACAAGCGAAATAAATGTTCCACGCTGGTTATATTCGTCCATTCAACAACTAAATGGATGCCAAATAATCTTGTTTTTACAGGTGATGTTAGGTAAATACCAAGAGTGTGGAGCGAGCGCGTGGCGCGGGAAGGACGCGGCGCTGTTCCTGGTGACGTCACTGGTGTCACGCGGGGGCACGCAGGCTGCTGGTGTCACTAAAGCTTCCCCATTAGTGGACCTCACCAGCTTTGCTGCAGGACATGTGCTGCCGGAGCTGCAGAGAGCACCAGGTAATGTTAGGTTATATGAGAATTTATTATGTTTCGTTACATGAAAGAGATGGAAGATAGCAGGGGCGAAAGATGTGAAAGAGCGAGATGGATATATAAGAGATGGTATAGTCCTTTAAAGAATTATGTATAAATTAAATAATTTAATTGTCCAGTATGTGGACACGTTTTTTTAATATTAGTAGTTTTTTGTTAATTGTACCATTTTAACAAGATCTAGGTTTGTACTAGATGGTTTACGTCGAATGACGAGATTCGAATTCTCGACCACTTGATCGGAAATCCGTACCCTTAACCATTATATTATTGGTGCTTCTAAATAATTAAGTTTAATATTTTTTAATTTACTTAAGTCGTACTTTTTTTCTCTCAAAATTAAACTAACCGTATAATAATATTTATATACAAAAATAATTGTTTGTTTGTTTCAGTGACTGAGTTACCCGTACTGAAAGCGGATGCTATAAAATACATTATGACGTTCCGGTCACTCCTGCCCAAGGAGTTTCTTATCACTGCCTTCCCTCTATTGGTAATGCTATCTTTTACTTACAAAAAAAATTATATAAGTATATCTTATGTTTTATATATGTTCCAACTTAAGTTAATTCACGTTAAAGAATATATGTCCACTCTTTTTTTAAAGGATGAAGGGGTCGACTGTTTTAATACAAGACTTAGGCAGAGGAATCTAATGATTAACTTATGAACTATTGAACTTATGTAATTACAATCTCTTGGATAAATTAACGATCTATGTCTGCATGTAATATTAAAAAAAACCATACAAAAACCAATTTCTAACATTTTTGTATGTCTGTCTGTCTTGTCCGCAAATTTGTTCCGACTAATCTCCGGGACGTGTGGACTGATTTTGGCTAAACATTAACTGGAAGGTAGCTGATGTTTGCATTAACATTGGCTACTTTTGAAATTCCACGCTAATTGTTAGTGTCACTTGACTCTGCAGGTCCTGGCTTCGAATCCTGTAACGTGGTTGACTATGGCGTAGTCACTGATTTAGGGTAGACTCCGAGTCCCTCAGTGGGGACGTAGAGCTAAAGATGAATTGCTAATTAATACAATGAAAACCTTTAATAAATTGCATTTAATATATTTTTAGATTGAGCATATATCTGGTCGTGGCGTGGTGTGTACATATGCAGCATGTACCGTGGAGAAGTTGGTAGCAGGTGGTATGGTGCCCCGTCCTCTGCTGGAGCCCCATGCACCGAAGCTCCTCACCGCTCTCTTTGCAGCTCTAGGAGATAATACTGATCCAGCTGATCATAATGAATATGTTATGAAAGGTTAGTTGTATAAAAAATATATGTTTTGGTATTGTGTAAAGTGGAAAATCCTGCTCGAAGGACCAATTTGGTTTTTTTTTTCGTTTTTGTAGCAAAAATTCAGGTAAAATTTTTAAAAAATATTTTGGATTTACTCGTGCGCAATAACTTAATACCTAACAATTAAAATCATGTTAAAATTCTAGCACAATATAAGAATCTATTATACTAAAGAAATTTGTATATCCATTGTTATTTTCTATGCATAGAACATATCCAAGGAAATTTATTTCCTAACCTATCATGATCCATTTAATTTAGTAATTACGTGAGTTGTCAGTGGGTATTGAATTAAATTTCTCTACTATGACCATTTCTAGCTATCCTGCGTACACTATCAGCACTACAAGAGTCTGCACTGCCTTTCGTTGGAGACGCTCTGCCGAAACTCGCCCGTATGCTCTCTGTGGTCGCCAAGAATCCCTGCAAGCCGCATTTCAATCATTTCCTATTTGAAACTTTGTCTTTATCTGTCTCGTAAGTAAAAAAAAAACTCCACCAAAACGTTTAAAATACTTACATAAAATAAAATATTTTGAATAAACCGATTTAAAAAAATACTTGTTTTATAAAAACGTAGATTTGTGGTAAAGCGGAGTTTTGAATCGATAAAAGAATTTCAAGCAAGTTTGCTTCAAGCAAACTGAAATGGATGTATGGATGGATGTTTGTTAGAAGTTATCCCCAGAATAACTCAACTGATTACAATGAAATTTGGCATAGATGTAGAACAAAGTCTGGAAGAACACATGGGCTATTTAATAAGTTTTAATCCTACGTGGACGGAGTCGCGGGCAACAGCTAGTATAACATATTTTTTATTATTTCAGATTAGTAACAAAGTCTAATCCAAACGCAATATCTGCCTTCGAAGACGCTCTCTTCCCGATCTTCCAGGAGATTCTACAGAACGATGTACAAGGTATGTCTATACAATGCCAGACAAAACTACTAGTAAACTATCTAACCTTAAAACTAGTCTTGTAGTAAGGTAGGGGAGGGGACATTAAAGACGGGGGATATATCCTCTTTCTGTGCGTACTCTCTCGGTTAAAGGTAGGCAAAGCATCTGAAAATGCAAAGATCACTTCGCTATTTTGGCGAATTTAGGTGGTCGCTTGCTCGTTTTCCACCATTTGCTATAAAAAATATAGCCTTGCATGACCATTTTAAATTATTAGAAGCCAGTGCTGGATAAACATCTGGGAAAAATATATATCATTCCAGTGTCGTTAGTTTACGCTTTTCGGCCACTGTACTGGAATGATGTAAACTGGATTTTATTCAAGTAGTAATTTTTTTTTTTCAGAGTTCATGCCATACGTGTTCCAAATGCTGTCCCTCCTGCTGGAGCTGCGAGGCAGTACTGGTGGTGGGGGCGAGGGCGAGGCGTACGGCGCCTTGCTGCCGTGCCTAGTGGCGCCCCCGTTGTGGGAGAGGCCGGCCAACGTGCGCCCACTGGTGCGCCTACTCTGCGCCTATGTCGCTGTTAGGACGGAACTAGTGCTTAATTCAGGGAAACTGGTCAGTATATAGTCCCAAGGTCGCCTCTAAGCTAAGCTTCGCATAATAGCTTTGACCCGCGACTCCGTCCGTAATTAAAAAAAAGGAAATAGCCTATGTGTGTTTTCAGCCTATGTTATATTTATGCCAAATTTCAACGAGATCCATGCCGCCGTTATGGAGATACCTTCTAATTAACATCCATCCATCCAAACATTCACAATATTAGTAAGAAATCGAAGCGAAAATGAACACGAAATTTATAAAAATGAATCGCAGAGATTTATCCCAGAGTTCTAAATATATTAGACCTTTAATGTTAAGTTAAAAAAAAGTTACAAAATTGACTTAGTTTACATATTAAATACTTGTCTCTTGCAGAATGCAATGCTTGGTGTGTTCCAAAAGCTGATCGCATCAAAGACCAACGATCATGAGGGCTTCTATCTCGTACAGACTATGCTATACAAGTTTGGAAGGTAAGATATCATTAATGGATTAAAGATTTATAGATAACAAGCAGTCACACGCGACTTCGTTCGCGCAAAATTAAAAAAAAATAGCCTAAGCCTAAATTCCTAAATTCTTCCAGGCTATGTTCTATATGTATGTCAAATTTCATCAAGATTCATGCAGCCGTTCTGGAGATACTTTCTAACAAACATCTATCCATCTAGACATTCGTATTTGTAATATTAGTAAGATTTAAATTAATTTAATTAAAAAAAAACATGTCAGTGTATTTATGACCGTATCGAGATGATAGTGGTATAGACAATACATACAAAAAACATTTCCTAAACAAAAAATTAAAGCACCAATATTGCTTTAAACTTAAGTTCTCAGATTGGATCTCAGAAATTCACGGTAAATCTAAACTGATTTACCGTGAGTTTCCGAGACCAAAATCTCAGTACAAAACATATCGACAAGCCTGTTAGTTTTAAATATAGATTTTGGACTCAAAAACCCACTATAATACTTTTAGATTTGTCTGTAAAAGAAAATGAATTATAAATAACTTTCATTCCTTTTAAGAGTCAATAGGCTAATGATTAAGGATTCGGATTTCCGATCATGAGGTCAGTTGTTCGAATCCCGACATTCGACTATTGTAAACTATCCTAGTACAAGCCTAGAGCTTAGTTGGAATGATAAAAGAAATATTAGTAAAAAAAATCATTTATTCATTATGTTTCTCATTCATTTTCAGTTCAGTGATGGATCAATACTCAAAGCAGATAATAACTTTACTGTTTCAAAGGCTATCGTCATCAAAGACCACGAAATATGTGCGTGGTCTTATCGCTTTTCTCGGATTTTACGCCGCGCACTTTGGGGCTGATACACTCGTCAATCTTATTAACTCTGTCCAAGCCAAGTAAGTATTATATACGTTTTATACAAGGCTACATTGGTCATAAGTGGCTCAGGGGTTAAGGACTTGACTTGTAATCAATAGGTCGTAGGTTGGAATCCCGTCATGCACCAAAGTGTTCAATTTACATGTGTACATTTATCTGATGTTACGGTGAAGGAAAACATCGTGGTTGCACATATCTGAGAAGAAATTCAAAGATATATGTGAAGTCAACCCATACTGAGCCAGTATTGACTATGGCCTACTTGCCCATAACTTAGGGTAGGCTCCAAGCCCCTGAACCTCCACTTAACCCTAAGTTACATTTTTATTTTAAAAAACCTATATCTAAACATTAAAATAAAATTGAAATAACATTGAAAAAAAATTTATGCACTTTGCTAAGTAATAATATAAGTTACTAAGTGTTGCCCGCAACTTCGTCCGCAAAATATTAAAAAATAAATAGTAGCAGATTCTCGCATCTACTGAATATGCATATGTCAGTAAAATTCAGTCAAATTTCGGAGGAGTATGATAACTTTGTGGCATGAGCATTTTATAAATGTATAATATTTTTGTCAGTATGTTCGCGATGTACACGGAACGTATCCTGATCGCGGAGCTGCAGCGTGTTTCTGGTGCACTGGAACGTAAGGCAGCTGCTGTCGGCTGTGTCAAGTTACTTTGTGAATCTGAACATTTCCGCACGGGGGCGCTCGCGGCGCTATGGCCTAAACTGCTGCAGGTACAGGGGACAACAATATTCCCATACAAATTTCCAGCTCTTAACCGCTTCCCTTTTTGGCATTAAAAAGTTTCCTAGGCTCTACACCAGTCTTTCCCAAAGTGGGCGATAACATACCCTTGTGTGCGCTGCAGGTCTCAAGCGGTAAGAGACCCAGAAAGAAAATGGGGGTGTTGCGTAGAGGCCTGGGGGTGATTAGTAATTTTATTTAGCTAGGAGGCATCTTAGACATCGACTGCATATATTTATTCTCAAAGTGGCAGTAGACAAAATAAGTTTGGGAACCACTGGTCTATGTTCAGTAGTTTTTGCGTGAAAGGAAAGACAGACAGAGTTACTTTCGCATTTATAACATTAGAAAGGACTATCTGTCACCCGCAACTGATAGTAATATGTTATTTTCCGCGTACAGGCTTTGATATCATTATTCGAGCTGCCCGCTGACGAGAGCTCGCTCCCGGACGATCACTTCGTGGAGGTGGACGAGCCTGCAGGCTACCAGGCTCAATACGCACAGCTCACGTGTGCTCGCAACGCTGCTGACGATCCACTGGCCGGTATGTATTGTTAGGAAGAAAATCCGACACTGTGCCGGTGTACTGGCACAACACTAGCCTTACTAAAATGTCGACGTTTATGTCCCCTCACTAATCATTCTGACACTTGACTTTGTAATGAAAGCGCGTCATTCGCGTCAAAGGATTGTAAATAATGTCTAAAAGTACTTAAGTTTCCATTGCCATTTTTATAACAACATTGTTACTCTTCCCTGTCAGACAGAGAAAACAATAATATTCTAAAACATATAGGTATAAGACATAGTTTGTAGGTAGGGATCAAGTAGTAGCCATTAACTTACAAATCAAGTTTTATATATGTTTTATGTATAGACAACATAGCTTTTAATATATTATAGAAAACATCGATAAAACTCCTTTTATTACTAGGAAAAGTATATTTTTATTAATATTAATTAAATATTACTATGTTGAATCTAGGTATAGAAGATCCGAAGCGCTATCTAGCGGAGAGTCTGGGCAACATGTGTCGTCAGTGGCCGGACGTGGTGCCGGCGCGAGTCGCCGCACTCGAGCCCCCGCACAGGCACGCGCTGCAGACTTATCTCAACGCGTACAGCGTTCAGATATGTTGAACATCATTGTAACTTATCATATCTCATCATCACTAACTATAGCTGGTTATCAATTATCATAAATTCATTGTCACTAACCATAAACCCAGTGTCACCATACCATAAAGCTAGTATAACTTACCCTAATTCACCATATTGTGGAACACACTCGAGTCTTGCTCACAAGAAGTATATTGTTTTAATTAAACAGTAAAATTTGCTGAGAAAAAGAATAACTCGACTCTCAACATAATATATCTGGTGTTTTTGTTTATTTACTTTATATGAATAAGAAAATAATCGCAAACTTCAAATAATTCTATTCGAATCTATTCTGTTTAACAATTTGGTATGCTTCTTAAAAAAGCGAAGATGTCAAAAGAATTTTCTTGTTACTTGTTATGTATGAATATGTATTGTAAATGTATGTATGGGTGCATTGAATGCTGTATATAAGTTTGTATGAGGTTTGTATGAAAGGAATTTTGTCTAAATATTACTTATCTTTATATCGACTATTTTAAGTGTATGGGATAGTGTGTATGATGTATGAATATTTTTTTTATGTATTTAAATACTATTACTGTTAAGAAATGTAACTTTTTTTCCTTCTCGATACATAAAACAGGTTTTTTCTGCGATTATGTGATTATTTATGAATTTTTGCTTATGTACTTGAACATATTTTGTGTGTGTTTAATACAAGTGTCAAATATTTATTTTTTGTCAATTTTTCGTTTTTTTTTTCTTTGTTTCACGTTTTAATTTCTTATTATTTTAATATGTAAGTTGCAAATCTGTTTTTTTTTAGTTAAAGCCCACAATTTCATGAAATTCTTGTATAAATTTTGTAATGCGAATGTTTGTAATATTGTGATATTAAAATATGTGAAATAATTATTGACTTTTCTTACAAATCTTCATATTATTTGTATATAAGTGTTAACACATTCAATGCCATAACAATTTCCACGTATTAACGTAAGTTAAGGCGAATCGGTGGCATTGAAAGTGTTAAAACATGACACAAAGTATAATAAAACAAAAACATTTTTCAGTTTAATTTAATTCCAAAAAGCTGTTCGCTACAATATCATTTGCGAAACCCATCTAATGACAGAAAACATCGAAAATTATTTGAAAATAACAATGAAAATTACAATTCCATAAAAATATCTTAATAGTGGATAAAATACAGGGAATGTTCTAATCTGCTAGAAAAAAAATTAATAAAAATGCCAATAAACGACAAATGCATTTTAAAATATTGAAGAAAGTAATGAAAAAAAGCAATTGATTTAATCGCGTAAATGAGAACTAATTTGCGAAAAGCTGAATAATTCAAAGGTATGAGGCAGCTAAAGGTTTATATGGACACCGACCGTCTTACCGTGTGTTTCCATTGTCTGTATAAAAACGGTATTTTTTCAAAGTGACAAGTCTCAGCAATGGAAACACAGAGTTAATCAAAGAGCAAATATAGAAGAGAACCAAATTAATGAATAATTTAACATCGTAGTGACGTCATCAAAAACATACTGTAATTTTTTTTAAAGCGCTTAGTTCTTAGTTAATTATGCCTAAGAGGCATATTTTATGCAAATCCAAATTCAATGTGCATTATGCCTTAAAAATATTGGTAAAAGGCTTATTAACCATCAATTTTAGGTAATTTTTTAAATTTGACAAAAGTTAGTACATAGTTTTGGTTTTTAATGTGTTAAGATTTTTCTATATTTGCTCCTTAGTCCTAAATATCCTTTCCAGATGGTAACCAACACATCGGACGTACAATTTGTATATAAAAAAAATTATAAAAATAAAATTCATATAAATATTGCACATCCTTGTACATAATAAAGGCAAAAACAAGAGAAACAACTAATAGGAATTGAAAATTACATTTTCAATCAGACTGCCGTTCTAGTTACATCGAATATTAAACTGTGACTTAACTGCAGCTACTTATATTGACACATCTCTCATACTTTGATAAGAGACATGTTTCAATACATGTATAACAACAGTGTAAATTCACGGTAAAAATCTACAGAGACATTTAAAAATATATTGATTATAGGCCTTTAAGCTCATTGAACGGCAGCCTCATACTCGCTCACTTGAGAGCGCACTCCACGAATACTGCGCGATGTGGCTCCGGCGCTGGGGTTACAGGTGCCAGAGGGGCTACGGGTGCTGGAGGTGCCACCACGAAATGGTTCTCAGTGAGGGGCCAGAGTTCCTTCAGTACGGACCAGAGGCGACGGTCGACTACTGCTCGGACCTTGGGCACGGGAAACCCATTGAAAGCGGAGGCCACAGGAAGAGTGTAGGCTCCCATATCGCGGAAGACGAGCCAGGCGCCCAGCGGCAGCGCGGGGATGCGCATGCGCGGCACTACACAGTCCAGACCATCACATGTTGGACCCCAGAAGGAGGAGCTGCGAGGAGTGCCCTCCGCCTGTTGACAAAATATTAGTTTATTGCATGAATTAAAATTATATCTTATTAATATTATAAATTCATATAATGGATGTTTGTTAGTTCTCTCAAGAACGGCTACATCGATTTCAGTGAAATTTGACACAGATGTAGAACTTAGTCTGGTCTGTCTAGTCTGTTTAATTCCACTCAGATGGAGTCGCACGCGACAACTAGTTTAAATATAATTACTTTAGTTCACTCTATGTTGTTTGGACATGTTATGAGGAGTGATGATGAAGATATAAGCAAAAAAGTAATGAGATTGAATGTGGATGGCTACAAGAGTAGAGGAAGACCAAAAAAAGTATGGAATGACTGTGTGAAAGAGGATATGCGTAAGAAGGGGGTAGACTCGGATATGACGGCTGATAGAGATGTATGGAGGAGTAGTACATACTGTGCAGACCCTCGATAGGGATAAGGGCTGATGATAATGAGTTAACTCTTATCTTTTGTTAATTCGTGATGCTTCTAATATTAAGACTACATTAAATAATAAAGTGCTGGATTCTGATATTTTTTCTATAACTTCCCGTTGTATAAATAAAGTTATCGATTACAATTTGCATATTACTAGGTAACTAGACAAAGTGCATTCGCTCCGAAGCGTTTCCATAGAAAACTCGCGCGACATCATTGTAAATTTCGTCAGTTTTATACATTATTGAATTTCACAATGGAATCACATCGAAACGAATGCATTTTGTCTCGCTACCACGATCTACATAATATTTGTGAACTGACCGTGTTGAGCGGCACAGGTGTCACCTCCTGGTGGTCGTACAGCAAGCAGTTGAAGGAGCCATACACGCCGTCGTTCATGAAGTACATTGTATGGGTCTCCTCCACATCATCCTCCTTAGCAGGCACCTGCATACGTAGAATAAAATATTCATGAAATAAATATGATATCATCATCATCAGCTCACTATACCTTCCCCACAGAGGGGCTCGGAGCCTCTCGGAGCCCAAGAGAGTGAATGAGATTTAAACAAGTTTTTTTTTTTATATCGTAAGGTTGCAAACGAGCGAGCGGCCACCTGAAATCGCTGAAATAGCGAAGTGACAGCCCATAGACATACGCAATTGCATATGCGTTGCCTACATTTAATCGACGGAGGAGAGGATGCACAGAAAGAAAAGATCTTCCCTTCCTATGCATCCTCTCATCCGGAAAGTCCACTTCCACTTCCCATCCTTTCCTTATAAGAAAAAGGGTAGAAAGGGTAAGAGGACTAACTTAGGCCTCCGGGACGCACACTCATCAGACTGTAGTTGGAATTGCTTCCACTTGACGCGTGTCTTCTGTGTGGTCGTGGTATTTCACCGGACGAGGTGGGCCAATTCGTGCGAAGATGTTAAAGCGGGCTCTACCACTGTTACAACAAGTGTATTATTGCTTACCTCACGTTTAGCGTAGACCATTGTGGCGAGGGTGTAGGCAGCACAGGCGAAGTACCGGCCTGGCTCCGCAATGACACGCACCTCGCATCCAGAGAAGTTGGCATCCAACGCTGCGTTGATCACTTGAGCCGTCTGTAACAATCACATATATATCTTACTAATATTATAAACTAGCTGTCGCCCGCGATTCCGTCTGCGTGGCCATATAAGAAAACTAAATATACATGTTAAATAAAAAGCAGCTCTTCAAAGCATAAATTCTAAAAAAAAAGAATAAATAGTTCCCTACGTCCGTCTCCTGGCTTTAAGCTACCTCCTCACCAATTTTCAGGCATATCGGTAAAGCCATTCTTGAGTTATAAATAGTGTAACTAACACGACTTTCTTTTATATATATAGATGTGAATGTTTAGATGGATGTTTGTTTGAAGGTATCTTCGGAACATCTCAACAGATCTTGATGAAATTTAACACTGACGTACAATGTAGTCTGAAAAAACACATAGACTAGTTATTAAGATTTTTTTGTAATTCCGCGCGTACGAAATCGCGGGCGACAGCTAGTATTCTATAAAACAATATCAGACAAAATAAATCAAGACTTATATAAAGCTTACAAGCGACTATTACCTTACTTAAAGGTCATTAATCGTGGGTTTCTAAACCAAAATCTCTGTATAAAACATATCGCCATTAAACTCAGAAACCCACAGTAATTTGCTTAAAACTGTCTTATAGATAATTAAATATCTTTTTAGGTTATTTTTATTAACTTGTAGGTAATTAATTATAACAGTATATTAGACAAACCTCGCGTATACTGGATCCAGTGTGTCCTGGGAAGCCTCCGCCCAGGTCCAGCAGATGCATGGCGTGTCCAGCAGCTGCGCCGAGTGTGAACAGTGCGCGGCAGTACTGTATGGCGCGCGCGTACACACCGCTCTCCTCAGCACCAGAACCCACGTGGAAGGATACACCCACCACCTGCACGAAACAATGCTTTAGTAACTTCTCATTTTTATGTTCAGCGTACTCAGAGTCGGATGTTCACTAAGGGAAGTGAAAGAGTAGATTTTTTATACTATACTAAACCCAAAAGGGCAATTTAAGTGTTTATAATTTATATTTTATTAAATCTTACTAATATTATAAATGCGAATGTTTAGATGTATGGATGGATGGATGTTTGAAAGGTAAATCCAAAACGGTTGAACCGATCTCGTTGATATTGGGCATATATATAGAACATAGTCTGGAAGAACACATAAGCTAATAATTTACTTTTTAATTCCGCCTGGACGGAGTAGCGGTCGACAACTAGTGTTTAATATAATTGGGCTCGTTTTATTATTCTTTTGAATGAAATTGTAAGTTTGATATTTTAAACTAGCTGTTGCCCCTGACTCCATTCATGAGAAATTAAAAAAAAATAGTAGCCTATGTGCTTTTCTAGACTATGTTCTATATCTATATCTAGTAACAAACATCCATACATCCATACATTTATAATACTAGTAAGATATTTTACACTGTCCAATATTTAAAGAAATTATTTCTAACATAATAAATACAATGTAAACTTGTCTGTCTGTGTGTACGACGTACCCTGAGTCCGAAGACAGCAGCCAGTTTGAGGAGTCGCGGCGCCTCAGTGACAGGGTCGCAGCCGAACTTGATGCCGAGCGGACAGCGCGCCGCCGCCGCATCACATCTGATGCGTACCACCAACCTGACACAACACACACGTTAAATTATCACTAAGGGAAGCTCATAGTGTGGATTTATATATATATAAATGTGTATAGTGAGGGCTATAAAGTACTACTATTTATCGTTAGTTTCTGAGACCAAATTTCTTTGACATAATAAAGATATGTTTTAATTCGAATTTTTGACCTCAGAAACCTACGGTTAAACGGACAAGTCGAGGCAATAAATGTGCATTCAAATTATAGAATAAATATAAGAAATCTATAAAAACACATTGGTACATGGTCTTGTATATACCGTGCCTTAAATGTTAAATATATACTGACTGTGCATGCGGCATGTGCTGCTTGATCTTGACCAGCTCTGTCTCCGAGTCGAAGGTCATCAGGTCGACTCCCACGGACGATGAGTAGCGGATGTGAGACGCCAGCTTCGCCGGATTCGCGAATATAATGCGCCTGCGCAACAATATATGCAATTACTTTATTATTACTTGAAATAAATTACTAAATCTTACTTTTAATATTATAAATGAAAATGGATGGATGGATGTTTGTTAGATAGGAGGTTCAAGGGATTTTGATGAAATTTGGGATAAATGTAGAATTTAAGCTTTTTTTTAATTTCCCGTGAACGGGGTCGCGGGCTAGAGCTACTAATATTATAAATGCGAATGTATAGATGGATGTTTATTAGAAAGTATCTCCAGAACTGCTGCACAGATTTTGCTGAAATTTGGCATAGACGTAGAAAATAGTCTGGAAGAACACATAGACTACTTGTATTTTTTTTTATTCCTCACTAGAGTCGTGGGGAACAGTACAATTATAAATGTATACTGACTCTGGTCGCACGCCGAGGCCGGTGACCATTTCAATCTCAGCTTTAGAGGCGCAATCAAAGCCAGCACCCAGAGCGGCCAGCGTGCTCACCAACAACTTGTCGTCGTTGCATTTCACCGCTATAACAATAATAAACAATTATCATAGCGTATGACATGGACTACCAATATTGGAAAATGGACTGATAGCGAAGAGCTTCGACCAACATCTCAAGAAGCTCTCGCTAAACAGTTGGATTAAGGGCCCGATACAAAAGGCAGTTATCCTAGAAACTATGCGCATCGTGATAAGTTTCCTGTCACTGCAGCCCTGACCACTCTTTGTTTGAGTCATGGGATTCCGCAGCCGGTGGTTTTCTGTTTTTAATATAATATGTTTTGTATATTTTTTTTGATATGAAATGTACTATATTAAAAATATGATAAATAAATTTAAACAAGAAATTATAACAATAATGAACTATGGAACGCATACGTAAGTATGTAATCTATAGTCTCATTCTAAAACCTTTTAACACTCAACCATTCATAACAATGTCAAAAGTGTATACAACTAGTATAACCCTTTTCAAATATCTGAGTAGCTCAAGATCATGTGCGCTGTGCAGTGCCTTCCCCGCATTAAGCTACGCCGTAACACACCTAAAATTAAGTTCTATGCAACGACTCGTAAGAAGAACGGTCAAGGTATTTGAAATGTGTTATACTTGATTAAATAACCTATGCCTAGTACTTCTATTTTTTGGTATCGTTGGTTTATAATACTTGAATGTAACTCACCGTAGAATGGCTCGACCCTGGGCATAAGCTCCTTCCAGTGATGGTACCGGGCGACCACCTCGCCCAGGTCCATTACATAGAAGGGTTCATCATGCCCCCCTTCTTCCACGATCTCCTTGATCACCGCTTCCGGGGTCCATTGCCCCTCCATCACCCTCACGCGCTGTTCATCTTCAATCACCTTCATTTTACTTGGTATCTTAATAAGCTTCGGTGTCCTTGAAACGAAGTTTTTTGTCGTCTTTTTTTTTGATATTGTAGACTTTGGCTATCGTATCCTCGATGCGAGGTGTCGGTTGATAGGCAAGCGATGTACCCTCGGCGCGTTGTGTGCGGCGCACGGGGGCTCGGTGTCACGTAACAGAGGCCGGTGGTGGGGGCCCACTAGCGCTAGTCCACAGGTGTCAGCTGTATAAGGAATTATCAGCTCACTATACGTCCACATTGGGCTCGGAACCTACCCTATTATATGACTAGGTAACGCATAAGTAATTTTGAGTTACTTGTTGAACTAAAATAGGGTAAGTTCGACTTTTGTGGTCTACGAAAGTAGGTTAATTATTAATTACACAATAATTAATTAATTTAATTTGAAGTTATAGTGGTTTTTAAATATGTGAAAATATGGGGGCGCTAAAAAAATATTTATTCTCAAAGTGGGCAGTAGACAAAATAAGTTTGGGAACCACTGGTCTAAATGAAGCAATAAGGGTATGTTCAGATGAATAGGACATGTAGGGTATGTTCGGGTGAAATGGGTTAGGCGGGGTATACGTACGTGTATCGCGTGGTGTGGCGTCAGCGGGCCCGTGCTCGCTGCCAGGGCGGGTCAACGTTGAGCGCGCGGCGCCAGCAGCGCGGCGGGCGGGGGCAGGCGGGCGCACGTCGCCCGGCACAGCCAGATGCGCCGGACAAGGCCGGTGCTCCCTGCAACAACATAACACATATTTGAACACAAATATATACAACTACCCTACAAAGGTACAATTGTAAGAAGGAAGCATTTATTTCCTAAATATATCCAACTAACCAATCTCTAACGAGGACGATTATATACTTCTAAATATTTATTTAATCTTTGTGATACGTTTTTTCACCGGTCAAACCGGCCCATTCGAGTATCCACTGCTATATGCAATAATATGCAGATTAAAAATGTAATTTTAAATTATTTTAAAACACTATACGTTCGGAAACGTAACAAATTGAGTACTAAGTCAAGAGCACAGCCTGTATCGATAATGTTTAGATAAGATGATAAAAATATCATCCCATTTCGCGGATATCGTCGAATCTTTGAATTGGATTCATCTAAATGTTATATAACAACTTGATAAAAATATACAAGAATGAGGAAATGTAAATAATTATTTATTTACTGAGTATTTAAAGTTTAAAAATCAGAATAAAATTTTGAGTGATAATTTTTTGTTAATAAATATGAGAAGAAATCTACTGTTATTGTTACTAACTTTACGTAAAACGATATAAAACAAAGCAAATGCCTTAACTTGTGACTTCACCAACATTAAATAAATGATTATGTCACAAAACATAATCTACCTAAACAACTAGTTTGGAAAATAACGGACCTATTTAGGTATAAAATTATTCATCAATTGAATGTTTGGTATTGGTAGTAGCATTTCATACCTAAATAATATATCACGTTTGAGTCTCGTTTGATTCAACATATAATTTCAGTTATAAATTAGAAATGTACTTGCCTTTAAAAGGTATGTTCTTAGAATATCGTTCGCAATGTAACGTATCATTATAGGTTAGAATATTTATCGTCGTCGTTTAGGCAAATGCTACTGTATCGTACAGCCACATTATAATTTAGTTACATAAAATTACAAAAAAAAACGTTGTTTTAATAATTAAATAAAATCAAATTAAATGTAAAAAATAATGACGTTAATATTATATCGTAGACAGGAACTTGTATATGTTAAATATAGATTTAATTTTAGATGAAATAAAATAAAGTAAAAAGTATTGCATTAATAAAATGTCAATCATTAAATCAATGCTATCAAGTTGTTAAATAGGATATCAGGTATCAAATGGTTGTTAATTTTTAAATCATGAAACGCAAATCAAAATTGACGAATAATACACGAAAATATACAAATGAATTACTAAACTAGGAAAAAATACGTTTTAAAATTAACTTCTATTCAGTAATCTAAAAATTCAAGAATATCTAAAGAATTCTGCTATATAAATCCGAACTTAAAATATTTTTTTGTGTAGCGGCCATCTTGCGTCGCATATGACGTCACATGGCGCCAGCGCAGGAGTTAACTCTCAGTCAAGGTCAATGTTACTACGGTACTAGAGCTATGAAATGTTAAATGTATTTGACAAATTAAAAAAAAACATTTGAATACATTTTTTGCAATTATTACGTAGTACCTATTGAAATAATAGTTTACCCATTATGTAACAAAGGAAATATACGAAAATTATGCAAACATTAAAATTAGTGAATGTTTGCTGTGGTTCTTTTCTTTTTTTTCTTAAAATCGTGTAATTGTTTTATAAAAACCAGTATTATAAAATAAAATATTTTAAAAAAAGGTTACCTTTGATAGCGTAATTCTCAAAGCTTTTATTGACCTTTAAGCAACAACCTGCTGGTTGTTGCTAAATAATGAATACTATTTATGAACTTCAACGTGAATTCGTATCAGCTGAACTGATCCGAAGATATATATTTTTTTTAATTTAAGACGTTTTCCGAAGACAAACAACGACTGTCACTCGTCGCACAAATAGCGGGAAACTGATGAATGTGTCAAGCGTCGCGTTGTATTTAAATGGGATCGTTATCAGTAGGTTTGCGAGTTGGAATCACGAGAGATGGGCCACGCTGATGTAACCAGAAGCCGCGAGCCACGCCAGACGCTACTGCTCCAAACCGCATTTGATGACGTCACAATTAAGGTCACCATAAATTTGAAGATAATAAATAAGACTCGTAATACCATAACGCAAATTTCACATTTTTTATGTAAATTTCGCACTGTTAGTTATTTCATTTTTATAGTCATAATGCATTTAATAAATAAACTATTCTTATAATAATAATTTCGTAATAATTAATAGCAATAAGTATATTTTTCTAACATTATCGGACAGTTCCAAGAAACATTATCATGGTAACCCTATTGTCGTGGCACGCGCGCGCTGTCAGACAATCTTGTTTGTGAGTCGTGATTTTATGGACGCGCATGATTTATTATGGGAAATTAATAATTAACACAACGTAGTATGTGGAAGATTACTCTAATAACATTAGCATTGCGATAACTTGAGGAATATTTTAAAACATAGACAATAGGATTATAAAATGTGATTTGTCTATCAAATGACAATTGGCGGGAACTTATTGACAGAAAACTTTTGTCGAACAAATGTAAAAACGCCTTAGTAATCTATGGTTTATCAGTGATTTCCTAAAATATTAGTACAGGTCTAAGCTGTAAAAAATTCGTGAAACTTGTAGGTATAGTGGACCTAGCACGAATATTTGTGACACGCCATCGTATCGTCATCGATAAGTATTGAAATTTGTGTAGCCTATAGAGCTTAAAGTACAAATTTTGACATAATTGACGACGATACGAAGGCGCTTGTCGCAAAGATTCTTGCTTATTCCCTCTGAATTTTCAGGTACATTGTTTGACTATCGGAAATAAATTTTCCGAGCAACAAATCATTACACTTGATGAGTCATTTCGATTCCGTACAGAGTATTGGAACAGTTTTCATGCATTATTCATGGAACATTTGGCAAACGAAATAGTTAGTTTAAGAAATCGAATTAGCCAACATGCGTCGCCTTTACAATTACATATAAATATTTCCTTCATTTACCGTGGGCTTCTGACACCAAAATGTCTGGACAAAACATATCGTCGTCCCTGTCATTACCGTTCACAACACAGAGATAACAATATGATTTAAACAGAGATTGGGGACTCAGAAACCCACAATTAGTTTCTAAATATCGTCATAAAACCTCTTTGCTACATAACTTTGTATTAGTATTGCCCATCTATGACAAATATAATCTATGAATTGCCAATTGTTTTCTTCGAAAGTGAATATTAACCCAAGGTGAGGGAGTTTCAAGCGCCCTTGAGGTTAAGTTAGCTCAAGGGCACCAGTTTCAGTTGGCATTCAGCCATCTGAGCACCTTTTTCGTTTAACATGTCTCTCCAATTTAAAATATGACTATGTTGTCACTTGTTTGTGATTTTTTTTACCATTGATTCTTGTTGAGAATTTTTGAATATCTTTTAAATATACGATTGAGAGATTTAGACAATGTAAAATAATGCTACGAGAGTAATAAGTACCTAACAAATTGGTACTATACTAATATTTAGGTAACAGAAGTGTACCAGAAAAGAGCCAAATGGAAGCCCTAAGTCTTCGCCTAAGCCTGGACTAAGGGTATGGGATTAAGGATTTTTTTGTGACTGAGTAGTCACTGCCTTGAAGAGGCATTTACAGCTTCACCGGGCTCGAGATGGCCGATCGCAGATGGCGCTTAGCCCGAACCTCGTTTACGAGTAACAAGACTCGAGGGCTCCCTCGGAAGCCTCGGCCCAGGCTGTTACTTCGTTATTGTTACCGGATTGGCGAGATAAAGGAGTTGTTTTATAGTTTTTTTTTTGTTAACGCGGGGAATGCGTTTATGCACTTCGCCGTCCGTGCTGCGGGGGCAGCAGGGACGGTTTCGTGTGGGACTACCGGCCTGGGAACAAGACTGGACTACCCACTAAACCCCGCGGTGTTCTCCTACGTCCAACCAGACCGTGGCATCTACGTTAGTTTATCCACGGCATTGTTTTATAGTTGTTCATTACCAAATTGTACAAATCTGTAACGATTTTTTTCCAGCCCTAGCAGTCAGTCAATACAACAGCGCGTGCCAGACATCAAAAAGCAAACAAATGATAAAAGCTCTATATGAATTTCCAAGAAACGATAAACCATTTGTAAATATATACGTAACATTATGCGACAGATCTTCCACGTTCGTGCACTAATACAAACTGCGTCTTTTACTGCATACAAGATTATTTTAAACAATAGTCAATTGCGAGATATCGCCCGCGACTCCGTTCGCGCGGTATTAATAAGCATAATAAGTAGCCTATGCGTTCTTCCAGACTATCTATATGTGTGCCAAATTTCATCGAGATCCGTTGAGCTGTTCCAGAGATACCTACAAACAAACATCCATTCATCCAAACATACTGATTTATACAAGTACTAGCGGACCCGACAGACGTTGTCCTGTCTACACGTCTTTAATTAGAATAAATTAATATGAAGTTAATATTTGATGAAAATTGTGAATCTAAACCATTCCCAGACAATTTAAATAATATTACAATTAGGAGTAAATGTATTTTAGGTGGTATCAGTTGATGTAAGCGTAATTTAAGATAGGCTTCGAGCCAATGATAACTTATAGTGGGCTGACGATGATGGCATTTTAGAGTAATGTCATTTAAATGTGAACTTTGTTACAAAATTTAAGCATTGCTTTGGAATGGGATAGTTACGGAACATAGAATAATGTTAGTTCTAATCTTTAATAGCAGACTTCTATTGACCTCTGTCCCCACTATCAGTACACTGTAGGGGGTGCGGGACAATGTTATTATTGACATCAACTTCAATTAACGTAATTAAAACTAACCTTAAAGTTGACCTAGTTTATATATACGCTAATGTTATAAAGGAAAATAATCTTTACTAAAAGATTTAAAGTTTAATGTAGATTGTGATTATCTACTGCTGACCCTAAAATGGGACAAGCCATAAAGTTTCGATGGTACCATAGAGTTATTGTTTATTTTTTTTATAATATTATATGGCTGCAAACGAGTAAGCGGCCAAAA